CTAAGGTATGACAATATGTTCAAAAACCTTCAGAACGTGAATATATGTAAAAATTTTCAATTAGAATTTTTGGACGATTACAATAACTTACCCTGCGGGAAGTTAAAAAGATTATGATCTAAAATAATGACCTATTCTTATAAAATAATGATGAAAAAAAATATTTTGCTCAAAATAGCGAGTGTCTAAAAAAAATTTACAACATTTTTTAATATTCGCGATTTTTTTAAAATAGTAAAAATTTGAATTTGAGGTTAAGTTCTAGTAATTCATATTTATGTTGTTCAATTAAGTAACATATTTATATATAAAATTTAAATATTCCGTAGAGTAATAATTCGTACTGAAGAGAAGTCTATGAAAAAGACTCTGTAAAAATTTCAAGGAAATCGGTCCAGTATCGCATCGAAAAAGGCAGTTTTGGAAGAATCGCATTTAAAGATTCATTGAGGACGGAAACAAAAGAGGACTGTCGGTGTCACATAGTTATATATCAGAAATAATTTAAATTTCGAAAGATTCTATATTTGAAAATAGTTCAACTCTGAAAATATCATTAAAACAAAATAGATTTTTTAATAATTATAGATCAGAATACCCCTTTAAGGTGAGTTATGAAAATTGATATAAATAATGATAAAACTGGGGATAATAGGAACTAAATATATGTAAATATCACAGTAAATCCTGATAATGCAATAGGAAGTATTACATACATTTGCAGGTAGTTGCTTAAGGTAATGTGTCTGATTTCTTACAGATACTGTGATATAAGATGCCAACGAAAAATTTCCAAATTCATGGTTCAATTGATCTTAGGATTGACCACTTATTACCATTATAAATTATTTTTCCGGTCAGTAGGTGACACTGCATTTCTGGATGCTATTTGAAAATAGGATGTATCCCATGATGTCAGGGAATAGAAAACTTAATGGCGAAAGGAAGTTGCCATTATGTGCAACTACAATAAGCCATTTCCATTAATATCAAAATGCTTCGCGCGCGTTCTTGCATAATGACCCAGTTGAAGGGCTTAAATCATACAATATCAACGATACGCGATGAATTTGTGCAAAATTTAAATTCCTTGTCGAGCCATTCCCTGCAAATTGCATAAATTAGTTTTATATTCAAAGTTTGATCGCGATATTAAAGATTCATCTCTTGAGCAAAATGAATGAAAACTTAAAAGATGCGGGATGTGATAAACTTGTGTAATGAGATATAAGTATTTGGAGATAAATTCAGGGAGAAACAAGTTGCTTATGCAGCTTAGTCACAAGTTTGGGTAGAAACATTATATACCACAAAGGTATCACATTTCCTATACTAAATAAATGTTTCGAAAGCTCGACCAAATGTCTATTATAATACAGTGCCGATGCTAAAAATTCTCAACAAAATTTTAGGAAGTGACTCTTGAAAGAAATCCTTAAAACTGTTTTTCCAAAAAACAAAAGAAAAGAAATAAAAAGCATTGAATGTATGCAGGATTATGTAAAAATTTAAATACCGAATTCCTTCCAGCTGATCCGAAGATTAACGTCTGCAGATTAGAAAATGCAAAGAATGTATTAAAAGTTAGATTGAATAAGAGATTATTACATTCTGTATATAAATTAATGTATTGAGTTTGAGTAAAAGAATCATGGAACAGTAAAAAAATTGTTTTTGACTGAAATTTAACCATTAATAGAATTTGGTAGTGAAATTAAACAAAAAAAAAACTAGTGGTGTATGCTGAAATCGCTAGAACTTTTCATACGGAAAACTAAATTATTTAAATAAACTATGCAAAACTTTGAAAAAGTTAGATTTTTAAATAATTTTGAAATTTTTGAAAAAATTTCATTTTTTTGTACTGTGATTATTTCTGTATTTTGTTTTTTTTTTTCTTAATTTTGAACAATTTTTTATGCAATCGCGCTGCATAGCTGATTTGAGGTCGAAATATCAAGGCGCTTAAGCGCCGCGTAGTCGTCTAACGTGTAAACATTGGTACGGAACCCATATAAATGTGCACAAAATTTGTACTTATTATTATAATTATTGTAAAATATCTAATAATAGGACACATATGTTACTAAAAGTGGCATTATTTTTTTACTTTTTTTATTGGATCTCCGAAAACTGAAATACCATTTTTGGCACTTTTTGCCCAGTATCTCCGAAACGGTTAAAAGCTGAAGTTTTAGCTTTTAATAATAACATTAAGATAGTCCGCTCAATCAGAGTTTTTTATGAAAATAACATGGGTAACATTTAACTTATTTTTAACTTAACGATGAATCAAAATTTTGAGAATAACATTGCGTTTGCTTATTTTGATCATAAATAGAATAATATTTGATATATTTTATAAAATAAGTATTTACTTAGGAAGAAGAATCAAGAAAATTTGATTGGAGTGCGGACTATCATAAAGTTAATATTAAGAGCTAAAACTTTGAGAGAATTTTTATTAGCAATTTGTGAGTGAAGAAATTCGGAAATATCCATATTAAAGAACACCCTAATATATATATGTATATATATATATATATATATATATATTTGTTTCGTGTATTTCGTTCCACTGACACATTTATCCACCCATTCGGCAGAATTGTGTTAGCGTGTTATATTTTAGAGTGAAATAATAACGACAAATGCAAAAAGCGGCGCAGCACCGAGCACCGACATAAAATATATGTACACAGATAAATTTTCACGGATCAAAAGACTGTATATCCGTTTATTCACAATAAAAGTACATTAAATAATGTTATTTCTATGCTGACCGCAAAAAGAAAATGCCAGGAGCGGATATAAGATACATCCGTTGCGGCGTTTCGGGGGCACTTCTATCTCGATTAATTTTCATCAAAGCTTCGAGCTAAGTATTTTTCTAAAAGCCCTTTCTTACTTTTTCTTTTGCCTTTCCACATTTTGACTTATTCATCTTTTGCTCTCGGATAGATAGATGAATGTAAGAAATACTACACGGAGGAGTCTAAAATAAATTGTACTAGCGTACATTAAATTAATTTATTTCAAACATTTCGTATCTTTTTAATATGATGCTCGTTATACTATATTTCAGGGATTTCTGTTATTATTTTGAAAGCATTTGAGCCCCTGGGAGCAAAAAAATAAAAAATGTCCATATTGAGGACCACTCTATATATAATATATATCTATATATTATAGTGTGTGTATTTATTTCTAAATTGTTAATCCAAATAAAAAAATTATTAGCATCCTTTTGGGTCATCATCAGGCACATTGTTTAACAATAAACAATATTGTGAGAATAAGTTGTTTTACAAAAAATTAACATAAATTTAGAAAATTTTTTAATAAAAATTTAAAATAAAAAATTCAGAAAAAGTTATTTCAAGAACGCTAGAATTAAGAATCAAAATCTATTTGCTTGCGATTCAGATCTAGAAATACTTGAAATAAGTAAAATTTGGATTTAAATTTCAATATTTTTAACTTTTCGAACGAGAAGTTTATGTTTTCACATAAAAATCCGAATTCTCTGAATCGTATGAAAACAAATTTGTAAAAAGTATGTATTTTTGTAGAGGGAAGGAAATGCGTTTACGCATCTCAAACTAGGTCTTTTGTCTGGGTAAGTCGGTTTCAATACCGCCTGGGTATAATACTGGCTAAAACCTGTACTTATCTTTTGCATGCGACAGTATCTAGAATGCTATGATTCTCTCATAATTATACTTTTCTATTAATTAATGGAAAAAAGCATGTGTGTGTATATGTGTGTATGTGTATGTCTATGTCAAATGATTTAAATGAAAAAAAACCAATACATATATTATTTATGCAAAGAATTCACTCACAGACATTTATAGCCGACTGCTTTTCTTTTTCGAAGAGTCACATAAGATTCTGCAGGAAATATGTAGATCACAAATCATATAATTTTATTGCAGTTCGTATTGTATGTAGTATAGTAGTGTATTGTATAATGTAATAAATTCATGCGAGCATGTTGTTATCTGGTTGTTTGAGCATCCGTCTGTGCGTCTGTCTGTTCTGGTATGTTCTGTCCGGAAACGCCGTTGCGAGTCGGACTCGGACATCATCCATTGATAACATGACTGTCACTATGGCATGGTGGAAATAAATTTAATATATAACCCTGGTGTTGATTTCGAAAATCCCCAGATACTATATCCCGAAAAACATGTGTACATTAATTATTTCCAAAGAATTATCCGACAAAAATCCTGGAACATCTCTAAGACAATTCAGTAAAACAAATACAATTACCATGAACAATTCCAAATTTCCTAGACAATTTCCACAGTTTATCTTAAGGAGCGAAGAATAATCCAATCTTGATAATTTGTAATTGAAAATTTATTCAACGTCCGGAAAATTTATATTCAGATCCAGGAAAACCCGTCAAGATTTTGTTCAAATATCTTTGAATGAATAAAATACATATTGATTTATGGTGTAGTTTTTACACGCGCTTTTTGAATTTATATTCTGGTTATGAAGCACTGTGATTTCTTTAACTATTTTATATACAAGTCTTGTACTTTAATAGTAACTAGGAAAAAATAATATATTATCTACTGTGCAAATTGTATCTTGGTCCTATGTGTTTAACTATTGCATAATCCGATAGCTGAGTAACTATTTCAAATTGCATATAATATTACGTGTAAGTAAATATGATAATTAATGATGAAGTATCAAAGTTTCACTGAAGTTTGAGAAGATCCGGCGAAACTTGGAAAGATCACTGTACAGAGATAAAAGCATCTGGTTTTAGATATCAAGAACAAAACTTATGATACTGATAATAAAAGTAACAACAGTAATTATATTAATAATAAAAATGATAATGAGGTCCTTTAGTCTAGAATTAAACCTATAGGTAAATTTACGTGCTACGGTTAGTGGCGCCCCTATGGAGCGGGGAAACAATTAAAATTGAAGTAATTTTTACTCTATGATTCTATCAGATTGATTTTTGTTTTTAGCTCCAGCTCTTGTGATAGTCGACGAGCTGGGAAGAAAAACGCCCGATATTTACTACCGGACGAATAGTGCCATAGAACTGACGTGCCAAGTTGCCACACTACTAAATCTGATGACCAAAGCCAAAACCGAAAATACACAATTGGTGTGGTTCAAGGATGGGGAACAGATTTCGACCAACCAGACTAAACTCATGTAAGTAATAGTAAGAAATTCAAGCTTTTTGGTTGGCGACTTACTAACAAAATTTTACAAATATTTCATGACAAATATAAATGCAATATTTAGACTTTTGTCTGCGTAATGATATAAAGAAATACATCATTAACCCTGTCGCTAAGAGCGACATCTATAGACGACATCTACTTGACAACCTTCGTGTACGAGTGTCGCTTAGAGACGACAACCAGTATGACAAATATTACTTCAGTATTCACTTCACTCTGACTTTAGTTATTAAGAATTATAATTTGTTTATTGTAGTTTTTGTTTTTTAGAAGTTTAATGTTCAACATTTTTATCGATAATTATAGGCAAATTTGAATACACATTTTTTTCCCACATAATCACGCACACATTCATTCATTTTTTTCTTAAATATTGACGATAAAGTTTAAAACTATTTTTTAATTTTTGTATATTTTTTAGATTTTATTAAGTGAACCTACAGAAATTTATTTAATAAATTATTATTAGAGAAATAATAAAATTTATTTAATAAATTATTAGAGAATGTTTAACAATTAGATTGATTTATTACATTTATTAGCGTCTTGATAGAGAAGTTTATATTTCTATTAGGAAATCCGATTACACAAGACTCTATAAATTTTATTATTTGCGATTGTAGTAGACACTTCAAAAAATAACTTGTGCAAATTTTAGGGTTGTAATACAAACGGTACGACTTGGGTATAATTTCAGAAATATTTACAAAATAACTCGAAATTTTGCAGTACTTTCTTCTGTAAATTGTAAATATCTCAAAAATTTGCCAAATACTCTATAAATTTTATTATTGGCGATTGTAGTAGACACTTCATAGAACAATTCGTGCAAATTTCAGGATTGTAATACAAACGGTGCGACTTACGCATATTTTCAAAAATATTTTATTAATATGCAGTTATATTATACTTTTTTTACTATTTTGCAAATTTCTCAAAATTTTGCTGAAAAACCCATAAATTTTATTATTTGCCTTTGTATGATACACTTCAGGGAATATCTGCAAATTTCAGATTTGTAATACAAACGGTGCGACCTGGACAAAATTTAAAAAATCATTTATAATATGCAGTGGGTTCTTTACCAAATGTCTTGAAACTTTGCAGTACTTTCTTTACTAAATTGCAAATATCTCAAAATATTGTAAAAAACTCTTTAAATTTATTATTTGCGATTGTAGTAGAGACTTTCAAGAACAATTTGTGCAAATTTCAAGGTTGTAGTACAAACGGTGCGACTTGGACCTGAAGTCAAAAATCTTTACTAAATATCTTTGATATTTGCAGTACTTTTTTACTAAATTTCAAATATCTCAAAATTTTGCAAAAGACTTTAGAAATTATAGTATTAGCAATTATAGTATACACTTCAATGAATATCTCGTGCAAATTATGGGGTTGTAATACAAACGACGCGCCCTGTGCCTAATTTCAAAAAATTTATAATTCATGTTTACTTGACCTTGTATTCTTTCTTTCAGAAACTCTCCACATTGGTTCGGTTTGCGACTAAATTTGCGAAGATCCAAACCAGAAGATTCAGGGACGTACTCGTGTCAGTTGACAAATATTTCAACGGTTTCCATACGAGTTCATGTACTAGATGGTAAGAATCCATCTCATTTGTGTATAGTTTAGAAAAAAATCAAAAACTATTTTTTACATAAACTTTTACAGATTCTTATATCAACTTTGGATTTTGGTTTATCATTTCAATTATTTTTTAATTGCAGAGGAAACGCAAGCCGCAGTCCAACATAAAACTCACTTCGGGGCAGCGAATGTGTTAAAATCGGAATTCGGCCTTTTTTATGTACTGTATATATTTTTATCGAAATTTGTAGCGATTTATTATCTATAATTAGTTAATTTGTATGATATGTAATTAAATTGTATATATGTAACTAATATCTTAATTATCATTAAATATACTAACAATTGCTATTATAAAATAAACATATATGAGAAATACTATATTTATTTTTTTATTATTCAACAGGCTTCGAAAGGAACAGGACACTGGGTTGGGAGGTAATAGAAATAATAACGGATATTGAAAAAAACAAAACCAGAAATTATATGGTGAAAAATTCTCTGGATAAGGTGTTTTTGTTGAAAATAATAGGTATGTGAATTTTCATTATGGTGGTGGTATATTCGATAAAACAAATTGATAAAAAAATTACACGAGCCTAAAAATTGAATTTATAAAAAAATCTAAACTAGGGTTAAATAATAAAATATCCTACTTTTCATATTTTATTTACTTATTTTATTTTTTCACATTTACATAATTTAAAATATTTAAAATTCATTCATGAGTATTCAGTCATTTTTTTATCATTTTTTTCCATTTTGCACAAATAATTGCAAAATAAATTGCAAATTTGAAGCTCATTTTTTCATCATCATATTTAACACGTTAAAAGCCGCGATACCTGAATATCTGAAAAATATTACATTTATCAGATAATTTAGTTAAAAACATATCAAAGGTAAAAGAATCTGTTGTATTTTTTATTACTGAAAAATTATATATGGCTCATGTAGAACTTTTTAGCGTCAGACACATATGACTGACATGGCGATTAACGTGTTAATATAAATAATCGATGCAAAATATCTATGATTTTTTTTCTATTGTACATAAATTTGTGTTTTTTTCTATTTTATTCAAATCGAAGCATTTGCAAGATTAAAGACTGATTTTATTTAAATCATATTTAGTAATTTAATAATTTTCCAAGGTTCAAGTCATTTTGAATCGTTCTATACCAAAATTTCTATTGTTACATTTTTAAAAGTGATTAAATCACATTTCTTTGTTTTTGCAACTTTTTTTGAGCAAAATTACTTCAGTTACCATTGTCATTTTTTATTTTAATAACAAGCAAATTTGTTTAGTTATCAAATTTACTTTGTTATTTATAATTTTATTTATTTCATTTAAAGCCCTTACATAAAATAACATGAGAAACCCTCTGTAGCTATAAAACGGTTTTAAATAAATAAATACATAAAAAATAATAAATAATAAAACTAATTTATGATTAAATATTTAAAATAATTAAATTAATATTTTTCATTTGTAAAATGTAATAAGTACAGTAACATCTTTTGAAGCTTACATTAAACGTCTTATATTTAAACTTAAACTTAAAAACTAATAAAATTAAAACTAATATTTGGGTTTAATAAGCTTTCATAAGGAAATTCTGAATTTTTTTGGACAAATTGGTGACTCAATGTTAACCCTTACCACTTGGATGCCGGCGGCCTCTGGTGACAACATTCATATTAAAAAATATATATTAAATATAAATAAGTTTATAGTAAATAAATTAAATAATAAATAAATAAGTAATAAAATAGCTAATAATTAATTAAATTATGTTAAACTTATAAAATATTGACTTAAGCCTTATTATAATATTATTATACCGACGGCTTGTAAAATAAATAAATAAATGAATTAGTTTTACAATTTCCGAGTGGTAAGGGTTAATTTTTATTTAGGAGGTATTGCAGTAAAGAGAAATAAATTTTATTCGGATTTTTGAAAGGCCGTAAAAAAGACAAGACATGTTTTTACTATAATTTCTTTAAAATGTTATTAGTTAATGTTTTGAAAATAGAAAAAAAAACAATAATAGTCAATGTGGGTTGTCTCAAAAAATAGTCACGTGACCATACACATAATTCTACACAAATTTTCTTTCTCGAAATTTTTGAATTAGTAAAAGCGAAATTTGGACGTGAGCTTAATTCTCAATTAATTCACAATAAAATAAAGAAAAGTCTATAAAGAAGATTCTGTAAAAATTTCAAGTAAATCCATGCGCTAGAAGTCGAGAAATGGTGGGTGTCGTATGGAAGGAAACTGAGGAGGAAAATTATGAAAAATTCTTGAAAATAGTAAAAATTTGGATTTGGGGATAAGCTTAGTTTATACTGATGAGGAGTCTTTAAAAAGACTCTGTAGAAGTTTCAAGTGAATCGGTATGGTAAATGTCGAGAAATCGTGGGTGTCGTATGGAAGAAAACTGCGGAGAAAAATTTAAAAAAATCCTTAAAAATAGTGAAATAAATTTATGGGTTAGAGTAGTGCATACTGATGAAAAGTCTTTAAAAAAGATACTGTAGAAGTTTCAAGTAAATCGGTGCAGTAGAAGTTGAGAAATCGAGGGCATGGTATCGAAAAAGACAGTTTTGAAGAGGAGAAAAACAGGATAGGATTATCGTGGACAAACATCTATATCTCCAAAAATAATTTAAATTTTGAAAAATCCTCTTGTAAATATATTCTTGAATAGTTCTAGAATACTTCTTTATCTTTATCTTTAATCGACCCAAGCAAATGTGGGTGTATGAACCGTCTTCAAATGATCCGGAGTTCGAATTTCGTCCTCCAAAATTCGTCTGGGTCTTCCACTACGTAAAGAAACACTTAATTTTCTCAAAGTGTCATATTTATTCATTCTTGGTTTTGTTTTATTAGGAGAAGAACTGTTGTAGGTCTTCTTGGCATGGCGATGTAGAAGATTTAGTGATGATAGAGGTTTCTTTTGGCCGTGGGTTTTCTGTAAACGTAAAAATAATAGTCATTGTAGGCATTACTGCAAAAATGGTTAAAAATATCGCTAACTTAGGACAAATGTCAGAGGGTCTTCTTTACTCAAATTCATCACTCAAAGAATAGACTTAAGGAATTTATTATCTTACTATAAAAGTTCAGTTTTTTTTTATTATATATTTTTGGGAAAACGTATTTTGTTCTCATTTCAATTATTCAAATTATACAGGTTTATCTTTTTTACATTATATATTTTTTTAAATCTTTCCAAGAATTAAACCTAGTGGTAAATTTAGGTGCTATAGTTTGTAGCGCCCCTATTGAAAAAATGGCAAAGTAACCTTTTATCTATGATTAGGACAACTATTGGTTTTTTCTTCTAACAGACAAAAATATCATATATATAATAGGATATATGATATAATAATAGGTTAATTTTAACTTAATTAATTTTAATAAATTTACTGCCATTTTTTGCACATTTAGCTCTGTATCTCCGAAACCACTGCACCTGCCTTTGCCAAAAACTAATCACTCCTTTTCCCCGTCAATACAAATTGAATGTTTTTTAGACCATTCAAATCGGATGCTCCGTTCACTCAAAAACTCGATTTCTATTTTCTGCACTCTTTGCTCTTTATCTCCGTAACTGCTGGACATGACTTTGCCAAAAACTAACCAGCACATCTCCCTATCAATAGGAATCGAATGCTTTTTGAACCATTCAAATCGGTTGATCCGTGCGTCCGAAAAATTGTATCCATACATACATACATACACACACACACATCCATTTTTTCTGAGGTATGCCAAAATGTTCAGAAACCTTCAAAACGTCGAGAAATGCAAAAATTTTCAATTTTGATTTTTGGACGATTACAATAACTTATCCTACGGGAAGTTAATAAATTTTATCTAGATTGAAATTTGAGGGTAAATTAACGTGCTAAAGTTAGTGGCGACCTTTATGGAGTGCGTAAAGAATTAAAATTGAAGTAATGACAAATCGACCGTGTTTGCGATCTAAAATTACTTTCAATAATTGAAAATTTCTCTTTCCAATGTACAAAATTATCCATAGAGTGTATTTGTAATGCAATTGCGCCTATTATTCAATGATTGATTGAGTGCTCTATTTGTTATCTTTGATACAATCGAAATTGCAATACACAGATATAGGGGCTCAATTAAATTTCTCCTCAAATTCAATAGACTCTCCGACTACAAATCATATATGCATTTTGCAAACTGATACCCGACTAACTCAATCCATCTATTCATTAATATAATGCAAAATTAAGCAGCTCCGGATATATAGATAATCGATACGCAAATGCATTTGTTTGATACTAATATTTAAATTAAATTAAATATTAATATTTCATTTAAGTCTAAAAACATTTTTATGCAAACTTTTGGTACAACTCAGTTTTGAACAGTAAATATGCATCATTATTTTCTTTTGAAACAAAGAATGGTTACTAATGAGCATTGAGCAAACCTACTTTTATCTTGTACTCTCTTGATGTTTTTTACTGTTTTCTTTAAGAGTTTTTAAAAGTTCAAAGGACGACAATTTCTTTTATTTTTGCGCGGATTAAAATATAATACTCTCAGTTTTTGATAAATAATTCCATTTGCAAACTTTTTGGAACTTGTTGTAATTTTACGCACTTCGGAAAAAAATACTGCAAACTTTCGAGATATTTGGTAAAAAAAACAGCTGTATATTTTTGAAAATTTGCCCAGGTCGCACCGTTTGTACTACAACCCTGAAAATTGTAGGAGTTATTCTTTGAAGTATTTACTACAATCGCGAATAAAAAAAATTATAGAGTATTTTGCAAAATTTTGAAACATTTGCAATTCAATGAAGAAAGTACTATAAAGTTTCGAGATATATAGTAAAGAACTATCTGCATATTAAAACACGATTTTTGATATTATACTCAGGTCGCATCGTTTGTATTACAACCCTGGAATTTGCTCGAGTTATTCTTAGAAGTGTATACTATAATCGGAAATAATAGAATTTATAGAGTCCTTTGCAAAATTTTGAGATATTTGCAAGTTTGTAAAAGAAGTACTGCAAAGTTTCGAGATATATAGTAAAGAACTATCTGCATATTAAAATATGATTTTTGAAATTATGCTCAGGTGGCACCGTTTGTACTACAATCCTAAAATTTGCACGAGTTATTCTTTAAAGTATTTACTACATTGGCTAGTAAGAAAATTTATAGAGCCCTTCGCAAAATTTTAAAATATTTACAATTTAGCTTAGAAAGTACTGCTAAGTTCCGAGATATTTAGTACTGCATATGGATACATGATTTTTGAAATTATGCCCAGGTCGCACCATCTGTATTACAACCCTGAAATTTGCTCGAGTTATTTTTAAAAGTGTATATTATAATCTCAAGTAATAAAATTCATATGATCATTGGCAAAAATTTTGAAATATTTGCAATTTAGCTTAGAAAGTACTGCGAGGTTTCGAGATATTCAGTGCAGCATATTGATACATAATTTTTGAAATCATGCCCAGGTCGCACCGTTTGTATTAAAAACCTGAAATTTGCACAAGTTATTCTTTAAAGTGTCTACCATAATCTAAAATAATTATCAAATATTAATATATATCATATCAAATTTATAGACTCTAGAGCAAAATTTTAAAATATTTGCCAATTATAAGAAGAAAGTACTGCAAAATTTCGAGATATTTAGTACTGATAAATAATTTTTGAAATTATGCCCAGGTCGCGCCGTTGTTGGTATTGCAACTTCAAAATTTATACTTAGAAGTAGCAAACTACTTATAAGTATACTCTGCTAACATTACACATACCCACATACATGGATCTTTTTTTATGTATACCAAAATGTTCAGAAGGTTATGAAACGTAAAAATTTTAATTTTCGATATATTTCTGGACATGTGTTTTCGTGGTGTTATATTTAAGATTAGCATAATACCTTATCACATTGTAATAGTCTGTTCTGCAGACTGTTACCCATTTCAATTCAAAGGAAATAGCCACTGCATAACACAAAACAATAAAGTTTCCATTTCCACCGAGTAGGGAACACTCGGCACTCTGTTCGGTATTATTCCGACTGACAAATGATTTCACTCTCGAGTCGAGCAGATGGTGCGGGTACGTCTTTAGTCGTCATTAACACGTTCAACGTTTTGAACAATAGGGAAGTCATCGAACAAGGGAAATACGTGAAATATAAATCCCCCTCATTTGTCTTACTATATAATATAACCATTGGTTTACGGAATGATCATGAATATATATCGTTTTCGCACATCCTTGCTCATGTGGGCCACGTACGGATTTGCAACCACAAGGTTTCGAGTTCGAATCGAGATAAAGAATATATATTTAAGTCTATATTTATCACTTTGCATTTTTACCCGGTTAATTGTAATTGACGAATATACACGTCATGGTGGCAGAATTTGTGTAATGACGAGTATACCCGTCATGCGTATAAAACAATCACCATTTGCTGTTTGAATTGAAATCTGTGAATATCTGAGAAAAAAATTGGTGTGTGCGGTTACAATTTTTCGTCGATGATTTCGAGAGCACTGATCAACCGATTTGAATGATTCAACTGTGCATTCAATTTCTATTGATGGGGAGACGTTTTGATCAATTTTTGTCAAAGAAAGCTCCAGCCCTTTCAGAGATACAGAGCAATAATTCAGGTTTTGAGAGAACGGATCATCCGATTTGAATGATTCAGAAAACATTCTACTTATAATTACAGAATGAAGAATTGATTACTTGTCCCGAAAAAATAAAATCTCGTTTCTGTATTTTGAACTTTCCGCGGTCTAATAAATATTTTTCAGAAGACGAAAATATTTATATCAAGTTTTCTTGCATATTTTGGAATACAGTGTGGTATGTATGTATGTTCGGATACAATTTTGCGTCTACGAATCAAACGATTTGAATAGTTCAAAAATCATTAGATTCGTAATGTTTGGCCAAGGCAGGTCCACCTGTTATGAAGATATGGGGCAAAAAGTGCCAAAAGTAGTAATCTAGTTCTTGAGATAACAGAATGACAAATTTGAAATATTCAAAATTGATTAAATTTTTGTGAAGGCAAGTTCAGCAGTTTCGGAAATCAAGTAAAAAATGTGAAAAAAATATCATTTGGCGGTCAAAAATGGTCATTAAAAAATCATATTATCAGATATTTCAAGAGATTTTAGAAATAAGTACAAAAGTTTACATTTCTATGGGTTCCGTTTTTCATTCATTCTTCAGAAAAAATGTTCAAAATTTTCAAAAAATATCGATATATAAAAAAAAATTAAATTTTACAATAAAGTTTCAAAATTCTCAAAATCTATGTTTTCAAAAATGTTTAAAGATTTTTTAAGAAGGTTGATTTCTTGGTACGGGAAAATGCAGCAAATTGCCTGCAGGCACGATGCCAAGCACCACTAGTTTATTTAAATACCTTATATATTTTCTCCACATAATCTTGATGTCCTGGATTTATGCCCACATAAGGAGCTTGTTGAAAGGAATCTAATTCATGGACTGTCGCCAATGCTGATAATGTCCTGGAAACGCCAATCTACAATGAAAAAATATTATGAAAATCTTATAAAAACTCTATCTATATTGTTAGAATGCATAATAAAACATGCATTTATGAAACATTGCATAACTTCAGTAATATACTAAAATATTATAGGCTTATAACAAGCATCACTTGAATTATAAAAAATCATCAAAGTTCAGAATTTCGTCGCGCGTTTAAGAGATTCTAATCAGAATCTATACTGACTCTATGCCGAAAATATTATGAGTATGTTCGAAAAACATGAACTAGAAATCGTATTGATTATTTTTTTGTAATGGCCAAAAATTAATTTTCAAATAAACAGTTGATTGTTTTACCTAAATATCTGTAACTCAATTACTATTACATAAATCGATTATTTCCACTTATCGTAAAGTTTATACAACTTGCCTCAATGAGAAATGCTACATACAACTATTTAGTACATTACTTCTCTCCTTCATAATCTTTTAAATTTCGTGTACCTGTCCATGTCGAATGTCGTGTTCGACTAGATCTGCTCCTAATAATTCTTCGGCCGGATCCATCCGTATTGGTATCACGCAGTCTATTATCCAGAGAATTAGCATAGTCGAGAACACGCCCCAAGTTGCCAGACACAGGCAGGCGAGCGCCTGCACGCCCATCAAGTACCAGCCGCCTCCTAGATATATACAGATATAGATATATGTGATGTTTGACCGGAATAGACTCGTAAACTACTGGACCGATTTTAAATTTGATTGACTCACCGTGTACATTTATATCTAACTTAGGTTATAGGCTATATTAAAAATCTCAGTTCATATTCGAAATATTAAAATTTTTGAAATTTCAATTAAATTTGACACTTATGAATTTCTTGAAAATAAAACTGTGAAATGTGTTGTCAATGTTTATCAATGTTGTCAAATAAAATAAAAAAATTGATATAAATAACAAATTATAGTCGAACTAGTGGGCGCATGGCATCGTGCCTTAAGGCAAAGTGCTGGAACTTCCCGTACCGTAATTAAACATTCGAGGAATAAAAATAATCATACAACAAAAATGTCTATGAATAAATATTATAAAAACTAGAATTTTCATCATTCGTTACTTGTAGACAAAATCTGAATACTTATTAGATTATACGACGTTGTTTATATATGTTTGAATGAAATGTATATTGAAATGTTAGAATGAACATATTTTATTTCAAATGCATCAATGTTTCATTCGCCAAATATATGCACTGAGTTAACATTTTTAAATAGTTTATGTAGTATCAACTATATAAACATAAAATTATTAACAATTTTGAAATTAGAATATTTTATTTATTTTAAACTAACGGTTCAAAAGTTACATGAGATTTAGCAAATAAATGCATGGGGTTTAAATTTAGAATTGTACTTGCATTGACTTAATAATTTTTTTTTGGTATCGTGGACGTTTTTCAAATACACCGAGTTGTTGTAGGGCATTACAGTAATAGACTGTATTGATAATTATTTAATTTTGTACAAATTAGTATAATATTTTATTTATTTTAAAGTAACGGTTCAAAAGTTACACGAGATTTAGCAAATAAATGCATGACGTTTATTAACTTCCTGTAGTGTTCCCCGGTGTTCCCGAAATCGTCGACAAAAATTTGTATCCGTACACAAACACATACATACACACACACATATATACATCCATTTTTTCTAAGGTATGCCAAAATATTCAGAAACTTTTGAAACGTAAAGATATATAAAATTTTCATTTTCGATTTTTTTGCGATTACTATATCTTACCCTACGGGAAGTTAATAATTTTAAACATTTCATTTTATATTGCCAGTTATGAATTTCATGAAAATAAAACTGTCTCACTCAAAAAATTAAAAAATAGTCATAGTAATAATATGTGTCCCTTAAGACGGCTTTTCAAGAAGAGAGTCTAAAAGAAAAGACCTCAGGTTGGCCATCCCTGATCCGGGCAATAAAATCAAGTATCCCTTCGCGAGACAGACAAATTCCACACGGGGCTCACTTGCAAACAACCGCAATTAAAATCAAGTTCGTCCTCAGAACGAAACAATCTCCGCAATTTACTATCCGCAACGACATTATACGCAAAGGATTCAATCGATACGAATCGTCGTCGTCGTCGTACACTGAGGGTAGTATTATTCATAAACATTGACAACTCAATTCACTTTTAATTTTATGAAATTTATACATGAAATTTTAAAAGTTTTATATTTCGAATATATACTGATATTTTTAATATAGCCTATAACCTAAGTTGGAAATAAATGCACACGGTGAACAAATCAAATTTAAAATCGGTTGAGTATTTCAGGAGTCCATTCCGGACGAACATCGTGACACGTTATTTATGTGTAGGTAAATTTAATAAATCGTCTGAATATTTGTTAATAACCCAAAATGATCTTTGGGAGGATCTCTGTTACCTTTGAATAGACCCGAACGACCCTTTGTAGTCGGCAGTGGGATAGGATTTTCTCCGAAAATTCCTACGGCTAGAACACCTGTACGAATACAAAACCATTAAAATATAGATATTAATTTAGAAAGGAAAGACAAGATACAAGGTGAAAAGAATGGGAAAAGAAAGAACTTTACTGAGCACAATCGTGAAGAGGACAGGATTCTGGATCGAATTCATATTGCAAAAATAGTGACTATTGTACAATTTTGTTGAAGGTAAACTAGAAGGCCTGAAAACTATGGGAAGGGAAAGAATGCAGGTGATTAATGGGCTGAATACGAACTATTATTATTTTATATATTTACCCCATAATCCGGCGACTCCGTGTACGGAACTTGCTCCAACTGGATCATCGACTCCGATTCGATCAAAAAGAGGCATCGCCAGACAAGCAATTCCTCCTCCAATGGAACCAATTAATAGGGCTTCCCATGTACGATACAGAAAACAACCGGCTGGAAATAAAAAATTAAAAAAAAACTAATTTTGTTCAATAATCAATACCTACTCAGTAACGTATAATTGTTACTCTTAATACTACGTTAGTAATAATACGTTAGTAATTCACCTGTTACTGATACTAGAGAGCCCAACACTCCATTTATAAGATCCATAATGTTGAGTTTACCGTCATTTCGAATTACTGAATACCTAAATTAATGTATGAGAATATTTTAGTCTATTTGCAAAACTAAGCCATTTTAATCTATTATCATTTTTATTACTAATGATTTGATAAATGATTTTATACAGCTAGCTTAACAAAATTCTAAAGATTTGAGAATTTATATGCTTATTTTCACAAGTAAAGTTAGTTTTCATTAATAGAGCGGGACCTAAACACCACCATTGGCTCATTAAAATAATTAAAATTTGGTTTCATTCATCGTTACTATTTTAAAGTAGAGGGCAAAAGATGTGTAACCAGCCATTGTCGTAAATCGAGCAACGTCGAATAATATAGCGTTTATACAACCAAAAAAATACATTGGTACGCACTACAGATATGTTCTTGTATATCTGGTATCTTATATATAAAATCCTTCTGTACGGGTGTATGATTTGATACTTCTCCTAAACGGTTATTCGGATTTTGATAATTTTTTTTAGAGTTTGTCAAGGAAAATTTTTAAGATTTTATGAATAATAAAACTATATTAATATTGTAGAAATAAATGGTGAAATTACAAAAAACCACTTATCATTGTTTGACATTGAAAACATTTGAACTATCACCTGCTAGAAATGTCAATTCACTTGAAATTTGAATTTGGGTGAAATTATGAGCCCAGAAAATATTAGAATATAATATAGAAAAAAATGTTATTGCCGAAAAGCAGCTGATATGTGCCAGAACTTAAAATAATATAAGATATAGTCAACAGTATGTGGTTTGGCAGATGAACATATATAATTCGGTCGAATAATAAAACGCAATAATTCTAAAATTGCATATACAATATTTTTTTAAACTAAATTATTAAACAATACAAAAATATATATCTATGTATTAAAAAAATGGTTTATAATTTAGTTTTATGTGTCAAAAATTAATTTGTTCGGCATTGAATATGGAATATTTAACAAGTTGATCTTAAATTGAAGAGTGCTCATATGAACTAGATTTTACAAATTAAATCACTTAAGTTTTGAACATAAACAATGATGTTTATTACATTATCAGTAAGAACAATGTACTTTAGAAATTATAATTGCCAAAAAGCAACTAATATATGGTACGAGATTATAAAAATTATAGACTAAATTATTGAAGCAATTATGTTGTGTGGTAAAATCAAGTATGATATTGTTCTTTTACCACAGATACTATGTTATTTTTTTCTAAATTTCTTATTCTGCTTAGGCAGGATATCAAATAGGATATTAAAAAGTATAGGAAAGGACATTAAATAATTTGGTACTTTTGAATTGTAGACGTGGGTACAGGACAACGTCTGCCGGGTCATCTAGTATATATATATATATATATATATATATATATATATATATATATATATATATATATATATAATACGTACAGTACACCTAATACACCGCCACCAAAGGATCCCATCATAGTTGTCACTGCAGCCCTTGCGGCATATTGCCATTTAGCTCCGCTCACCTGTAATTAATATTATATAATTTTTTGCTCTACATAATTATTATTATTTTATGAAAATGATATTCGTGTCTACATTTAATTACGAAGGGATAACTCACCCCGTAAGTGCTGCCCGAGTTGAATGCCAACCAGCCCCACCAGAGGACAAAAAGTCCCATGACCGCGTTGACCGGGCTGCCCAAGGGCAACTGCCCTATACCGTGGCTGTAGCGCCCGAGGCGAGGGCCCAGCATCACGGCAGAGGCGAAGGCGGCAGAACCACCTTAATAATAATAATAATAAAATATATCATGAATCTCTTGCATATAATATAGTTCTAAAGTGTTCTATAAATTTTAAATTTATATTGTTTCAAAAATACATAATTAACTTCCCGTAGGGTAGTTATAGTAATGGGTCGAAAATCGAAAATGAAAATTTTTGCATTTTCGACGTTTTGAAGGTTTCTAAACATTTTGGCTCAGAAAAAATGGATGTGTGTGTGTGTTTTTCATGTAAGCATTTTTTCGTCCACGTTTTTGGGCGCACGGTTGAATAATTCATAAACAGGAATATCATAAGAAACATTCGATTCCTATTGATAGGGAGATGTGCTGATTAGTTTTTGGCAAAGCCTGGTCCAGCCGTTACGGAGATACGGAGCAAAGAGTGCAGAAAATACAAATCGAGTTTTTGAGAGAACGGAGCATTCGATTTGAATCATCTACAAAACATTCAATTTACAATGATTGGGAGAAGAGGTGATTAATTTTTGTCAAAAGCAGGTCCAGCGGTTTCGGAGATACAGAGATAAATGTCCAAAAAATGTCAGTTTTGGAGTGAACTAAGCGTCCGATTTGAATGAACTAAAAAACTTTCTGCTTGTATTGCCAAAACAGTTGCTTTTGAAGATAAAAAATTATTACATCTTTTTTTTATTTTTCATAAAATATTTTTGTAATTTTGGATTAAAATTTCAAAAAATTACTCAGGCTTAGCACAGTCTAAGCGCCACTCTGGTACAAATGTTTACCCAAGTTCGTTTAGACTGTTTACGCACTTTACGTTTGTGCACTTTTCCAATCTTGTGAAAACTATTGAAAAATGTGAGAATGCCGTCAAGCTAAGCACAGTATAAGTTAAATGTCGCACAGAATTATTTGCCAATGCGTTTAGACTGTGACTATACGGGAGCACTTCAATTCAATTTACTATTTTTTTTGAAAGTGAATTCGAAATGAAATGACGATTGTTAATGTTCTGGAGATAAATTGATTTATGATTTACATTTGATTTGCTCAGATATAACAAGATAGCAAAAATAATGAAAGTATTTGTAATAATATATTTGATAACGTTTAAAATTTCTCGAACATTTCGTTACGGTACGGGAAGTTCCAGCAATTTGGCTTAAGGAGCGATGCCATACACCACTAGATATTTTTATATTTGAGGGCATACCTATCACATGTACAGGTCCGGATCCTGCGATATCAACTGCTCCTAAATTGTAAAGAAAACCATGTTCTCCCCAAACCCAACCAGCTGGTATGCAATACACTGCAGTATTCATTAAGGAAAATAGGCAGTAGGCTTTGAAGTTACATCTAAAATTAATAAATACATTTTATAAAAAATAAAATTCATAGGATGATGAATGATTGTTAAATGCAATTTAATATTAATCAAATATGTTTCATGTCTAAAAGCTCATAAATCTCTAGTTATCACGTTCACATCTTTATATATGACGGAACTTTTTTTCAATAAAAGAACTCAAAGGTGTGAAAATATGCGAAAACTCTGAATTTAATAAGAAACCACGTACCGACTGTTCTATGAAGTTAGAAAGGAAGTGCAAATATTTAGTAAATGAACGTGAATGCAAATTATTAATATTTCACCGAAGGATTACTAACTTAATCCTAACGAATATAATTAATTCAATGGGAAGAATTTTAATATCAAAATATGTGCTTGGAGTACAATTTTGTAATTATACTTATTCAATATTAGTCGCGGCAAAGTTATAAACTTTGATGATTTTTTTTTAATTCCACCGCTAATCGTATGCCTATAATATTTAACTTCCCGTAGGGTAAGTTATAGTAATCGCACAAAAATCAAAAATGAAAGATTTTATAAGTCTTTACGTTTCAAAGATTTCTGAACATTTTGGCATACTTTAGAAAAAAATGATGCATGTGTGTGTGTGTTTGTGTATGTGCGGATACAACTTTTCGTCGATGATTTCGAGAACACGGAGCAACCGATTTGAATGATTCGAAAAACATTTGATTCGTATTGATAAGGAAACGTGCTGATTAGTTTTTGGCAAAGGCAGGTTCAGCCATTTGGGAAAAACAGGAAAAAGTGCCAAAAATGGTAATTTAATTTTTGAGAGAACGGAGCGTCCGATTAGAATGATTCAAAAAGTAAAAAAAATGATATGTAAAACATATGCACATCAAATAATCAGATATTTTATAGAAATTTTAATAATAAGTATAAATTTTGTTTACATGTATATGGGTTCTATACCAATGGGTTATACGTTAGACTACGACGCGGCGCCCACGCGCTTCCATATTTCATTTCTACGCAGCTAATCGCGAATGTTTTGAAAAAAGTTCAAAATTTCCAAAATATTTCAAAGTATATAAAAAACAAATTTTTCATAAAGGTTAATTATTGAAGTCAAAAATTTTCAAATTTTCAAAAATTTATTTTTCTCTAAGTTCTAAAAGAATTGAATCTAATTTTTGGTACGGGAAGTACCAGAAATTTGTCTTAAGGCACGATGCCATGCACCACTAGTTTAGTATGTAATTTCAGACTACGATATCTATCTTCATCATCAACAATTTTTAATTAATTAATTAATCTTCAAAATCATAAAAATAAACTCAACTTTTAATTAAAAAGAAACGGCCCAGCAGATATTTACCAAAAACTAATCAACGCGATCGAAATTTTTCGAACAGGTTCTTGAATTTTTAAAATCGATTCATGAATGTGGGTTTGAAACATTGACAAAAAACTGTACACGTTTTTGCTAATTATAAAGAAACGGCTTGGCCGATCGTCACGCAAAACTGGTAAACGTTATTCAGTTACATCAAATGGTTCATAAATTTTTTAAATCAGTCCAGCCGTCTTAGACCAGTCATTTAAGCTTAAATTAGGTAAGAATATCGGAATTTGAGATACCCAGCTTTAAGTCTGTAAATACCCTAAAATAGCACCCTAAAAGTTGTCTCAAAACTTACATATGATATGTACACCCTATTATATGTAGGTTTTGAGACAACTTTTAAATGACAATTTACGTACTTAAGTTAAAGTGTTAACAGCTGGGTATCTCGAATTTCGAGGTGAACTTATTATAATGGCTGGACTATCTTTGAGAAAACGTCGACCGTAATAAGGTCAAAAATAGTATTTCTAATTATTGGTCTCATTCGATTCAGAATGGCTTGAAACGTCGAGAAAACATAAAATTAGCAAATAGATTTTTTTTATAAAAACATAAACTTTTTCTTTGAGAAGTTAATAATAAATTCACTTATCCTTTACCTCTCGGCCATAGCTCCACTGACTATAGTAGTAGCAGTGGTGGCAAATGATAGTTGGAACAGAAATGAGGCAAAAACAGGTCCCATGAGAGGGTTTCCAACCTGCGGGTCAATCATAAAATCTCCAAAGGCGATAAATGGATTCGTATAAGCACCTCTCCCATAGGACATACCGTAGCCGAATAACCAGTAAGTAAAACCGCCCAGAATTATATCTATCACATTCTTCATCATGATGTTCACTTCGTTCTTTATTGATACACAACCGGATTCCAGCATACCGAAACCTAAAAAATAATAAATAGATAGATGAAAAAAAAATATTTATAAATATAATAGCAATCAGAATCTTATAATTCTATAAACTATTGAGATGTGTTTGAACTCAAAACTGAGTTTGCAAATGTGGCTTGTTTAGGAAACTCTTCAATGGGAGCCCTTAATACTTATAGTCAATCATTAAGTTGTTTTTAACTTCCCGTAGGGTAGTTATAGTAATGGGCCGAAAATCGAAAATTAAATTTTTTGCATTTCTCGACGTTTTGAAGGTTTCTGAACATTTTGGCGTACCTCAGAAAAAATTTATGTGTGTGTATGTGTGTGTTTTGTATGTCCGTATTTTTCGTCCACGTTTTCGGGCGCACGGATCAACCGATTTGAATGGTTTGAAAAACATTCGATACCTATTGATAGGGAAATGTGCTGATTAGTTTTTGGCAAAGGCAGGTCCAGCCGTTACGGAGATACGGAGCAAATAGTGCAGAAAATACAAATCGAATTTTTGAGAGAACGGTGTATCGGATTTGAATGATCTAAAAAACATTCAATTTGTAATGATTGGTGAAGAGGTAATTAGTTTTTAGCAAAGACAGGTCCAGCCATTTCGGAGTTACAGAGTTAAATGTGCAAAAAATTGCAGTTTTTGAGTGATCTAAGCGTTCGATTTGAATGATCTAAAAAAACTTTCTGCTTGTATTGACAAAACAATTGATTTTGAGGATAAAAAATTATTACATTTTTTTATTTTCCGTAAAATATTTTTGTAATTTTGGAATAAAAATTCAAAAAATCACCCAGGCTAAGCACAGTCTAAGCGCCACTCTGGTACAAATTTTTACCGAAGTGCATTTAGACTGTTTATGTACTGGAGCACTTTTCCAATTTTGTGAAAACTATTGAAAAATGTGAAAATGCCGCTAAGCTAAGCACAGTATAGGTGAAAATGTCGCACAGAATTATTTGCAAATGCGTTTAGACTGTGACTATGCGGGAGCACTTTTTCAATTTTGTGCAAATTAGGCAACTATTTTTTTTTTAAATTGAATTCGAAATGAAATGACGATTGTTAATGTCCTGGAGATAAATTGATTTATGATTTACATTTGTATTGCTCACTCAGATATAACAAGATAGCAAAAATAATGAAAGTTACAGAATTTGTAATAATATATTTGAAAACGTTTAAAATTTCTCGAACATTTTGTTACGGTACCGGAAGTTACAGCAATTTGCCTTAAGGCACGATGCCATACACCACTAGTTTTGAATTTGATCTTAAATATTTTCAGTTTTTAGACAAATATGTCTGACATGACTCTTGTAGAACTTTTTGGCATCAGACATACATGACTGACACAATAATTTAAATGTTAGGTAATAAATATAATTGAAAAAAAAACTAGAAATTTAATTTTAAATAATTTAAGTTTTAACTATGAAATATTAAAACATCTAGACATCCAAACATAAAATCTTCTCATCGACTTAGTATTTTTGTCATAAAACGAAGAAAATGAAATGAACATCGTTGTAAAAAACTAACGAGAAATTTTACGGTGTACTTTTCATAAATTAGAATCAGAAAGATTATTAGAGAGCTTTTCCATAAAATTTCTTTCTTTTAATTCACGATTGTCATTTGAAACGCTTGTATTAATATTTCGAGTTATTTTAGTTTGATAATTAAGTGGATTTAATTAAAAATCAAACTAAGCCCAAAATTTAGAACTCGGTCTTAAATTTAGAACCAAATCTAAAATTCAGAATCAGATATAAAATTTAGAACAATATCTAAAATTTAGAACATGATCTAAAATTTAAAATAATATCAAAAAATTACAAGTAAAACTAAAATTTAGAACAAGATTTGAAATTTAGAACAAGATTTGAAATTTAGAACAAGATTTAAAATTTAGAATTTGGTCTAGAATTTAAATCAATTACGAAAATTCAGAACTAGGTCTAGAATTTACAACCATATCTAAAATTTAGAGTTAAATCTAAAATTTAGGACTAAGCCTAAATTTTAGAACAAGATCTAAAATTTAGAACTAGGTTCAAAATTCAGAACAATATTTAAAATTTAGATACTTTGTGATTCAACGATGATTTTATTAGACACCGATATTTTTGTACACTTTTTTGTTTGTTTTTTTTTTATATAAAATCATGACACAATTAATCTAAATTGAAGATAATTTGCTTCAATTATTATATATTCGATTAAAAAACTGTACTTTGAAAATAAAGCTAGATAATATTTAAAATTAGAGATAAAAGACATCACAACGCTATCTGGAAAAATTGGTATCTAGAAGGTACTCTTTGGAATATAACTATTTTAATAGATGTATTAAGATAATACTATTATTCACCTGTTTGCATAGTAAAAATAATAAATGAAGAAGTTATGACCCAATTTGTGTCTTCTGTATTCAGGTCATAAACACCTGGTTTACCTCCAGGACCTCCTGTAGCATTTCTTTTGTAAAGAAATCCATCTGCTGATGAATTTCCATTTTCTATATTCGAATCATTAAACAATGCCATAATTCGTAAAAAAAATCTTTATATTTCTTTTATTTTTAAAGAAAAACTGTAGATACTCTCATTGTAAATTTTAAATTGGTGTTGGATAAACACATTAGAAAATATATATTATCGTATAGAGAATAATATATGTTGTTTACGTATAATATCGCAAAGTTTAGGCAGTTATCACTAAAAAACACGCATATTTTTTACTATATTATTAAATTTTTCAACATTCAATCTTTCAACAGTCGCAAGTAATAATACTTTTTACCATTTTGAAATATTTGTAGAGTCACTAAATGCAATTGCATTTGCGTGCAGAATATATTTAAAATGCAGAAGACAAAGTCATGGACATACGTGACATCGTAATATATAAATGAAAATCTTGAATGTTTTACTACTAAGGAATTAGAAATCTATATATATTATGGTAGAGATTTGCAAAATATATCTATACATAAAAAAGATATCACGATGTTTGTCCAGGATGGACTCCTAAACTGCTGAACCGATTTTAAATTTGAATGTCTTACCAGGTGCATTTTTATTCAACTTAGGTGATTGTTCTTGTTCTAAATTTTAAATATTGTTATAAATTTTAGATCTCGTTCTAATTTTTAGATCATAATCTGTATAAAAATTTGTATATTTTAGGTATTGTTTTAAATTATAAATCTTATACTCAATTTTAGATCTCTTTAGATCTTTTTGGTTCTAAATTTTAGATCTTGTTCTAAATTATAGATTTTGTTTTAAGTTTTAGAGATTGTCCTAAATTTTAGACCTAGTTCTAAATTTAAGACTTAGTTCTAAATTAAAACTTAGTTCTAAATTTTAAATCTAGTTCTAAATTTTAGACTTAGTTTCAAATTTTGAACTTGGTTATTAATTTAGACCTAATTATCAATTTTAGTAATAGTTCTAAATTTTGGACCTAGTTCCAAATTTTAGACTTAAGTCCAAATTTTAGACTTAGTTCTAAATTTTAGATTTAGTTCTAAGTTTTTAACTTAGTTCTAAATTTTAGACTTAATTTTAAATTCTAGTATTTTGTTCTAAATTTAAGACTTAGTTCTAAGTGGTTCTAAGTTTTGAAATTAGTTCCAATTTTACATTTAGTTCTAAATTTTAAATATTGTTCAAAATTTTATATAATGTTCTAAACTTTAAACCTTTTTCTAAAATCTAGATCTTTTTAGATCTTCTTCTAAGTTCTAAATTTGAGATCATGTTTTAAAATTCAGACTTAAATCTAAATTTTAGACTTAATTCTAAATTGTATATATTGTTCTAAATTTTAGATCCTCATTATTCACTTAAATGTTTAACAAGTTACTGTGTTCAAGAATAAAATTTTAAATTTAGTATCTCATCTACAAGTAATTCTGTGTTTATTGATACAAGTGTGAATTTCATAATTTTCAAATTATCTGCACGCTGAATAAATAATTTAAATTAAATACGTCTTATATAACAGATTAATTAATCAATCCATGTGACTAAATTTAGACTTTTTTTATTAATATAATTTGCAATAGATAAAAATTGGCAAAGCAGCGCGTGTTGCAAATAATTCAGTATTCTGTTTTATTGAACTTGAATTTTTGAAACAATCTCTGAAAACATAAATAAGTCATAGAAAATGTATTGAATTTTTCAGCTTTTTTGCACCCATTACATATTTATGATTACCACTGCTATTATTTGACGAAGTCTAGAAGTTCTTTGATTTAAAAAAACATAATTAATTATTAAAATGTTTGTGCTGAATTCTTGTTGAAAACATCTTAAGATATAAATAAGTTAATTGGATTGCAACTACATTTACATGGATAAGAATTTCTTTAGGTACATTTTACAATTATGCTTCTAAATTATATTATCAATCTATAAATAGTTTGCCCTTAATATAAACTAGTGGTATGTGGAATTTTGCCTTAAGGCAAATTGCACGAACTAAGCAATTTTTGAAACTCTGTAGAAGTTTTGAGTAAATCGGTGCAGTAAAAGTCGAGAAATCGTGGGTGTCGTATGAAAGGAAAATGAGAAAAAAAATTTTGAAAAATCCTTAAAATTGTTAAAAATTTGAATTTGGCGATAAGCTTAGTTCATACTGATGAGAAGTCTTTAAAGAAGACTCTGTAAAAGTTTCAAGTAAATCGGTGCAGTAGAAGTCGAGAAATCGTGGGTGTCGTATGGAAGGAAACTGAGGAGGAAAATTTTGAAAAATCCTTAAAAATAGTAAAAAATTGAATTTAAAGATAAACTTAGTTCATACTGATGAGAAGTCTTTGTAGGAAAATCTGTAAAAGCTTCAAGTAAATCGGTGCAGTTAGAAATCGAGAAATCGTGGAAATCGTATAAAAAAAACAGTTTTGCGAAAAACGCTTGCAGAGGAAGGAAACTGGAGAGGAAAATTTTGAAAAATCTTTAAAAATAGTCAAAAGTTGAATTTGAGGATAAGCTTAGTTTATACTGCTGAGAAGTCTTTTAAGAAGACTCTGTAGAAGTTTCAAGTAAGTCGATGCAGTAAAAGTCGAGAAATCATGGATACCGTTTTGATAAAGGCAGTTTCGAGAAAAACGCCTTTAAAGTTTTGCTGAGGAGGTTTATAGTGGTCAAACAGCTGTATCTCCGAAAATAATTCTAATTTTTAAAAATCCTCTTAAACACATATTCTTGAATAATTAAACTTTGATAAAACAAAATAAAACGATTTTTTGCAAATTCTAGTTTCCCATGAGATTAAATCTAATAATAGCCTTTCATCACACGTTTTATCTTTGCACCAGTAGTTAATAATTTCATTTGACTTCTAAGCGTTTAATTCCGCGAGGAAAATATTTAACATAGATAAGAACTTACATATATTGTAATCATAAACACGTGCAAATTCTAAATCGCATATAAATTCAACGGCAACAATTTAATTATCAGTCATTTTTTTTATTTTACAACGTGTTAAAAAAATGAGTCAATTACGGTTGGATTTATTTTTTGCGGTGGTTGTGCTGGTTTTGTGCTGCAGTCAAGCAAAATGTGGTAAAATTATGAATTTGATATAAAATAGTAAATGAAAGGTTCGGAAATTTTTTGGTTTGGAAATAGATTGAATAAAATTAATAAAAATGGATGTAAGATAATACACCATACTTTGGAGTTTGAGAATGTCAAAAATTTTCTGTTTTTAACTTTCTGTAGGGTAAGTTATTGTAATCGTCCAAAAATCAAAATTGAAAATGTTTGCATATCTTCACGTTTCGAAGGTTTCTTAGCATTTTGGCATACTATAGAAAAAATGTATGATGTGTGCATGCGTGGATACAATTTTTGTGGACGTTTTCGGGTGCACGGATCAACCGATTTGAATGATTCAAAAAGCAATCGATCCCTATTGATAGAGAAACTTGCTACGATTTCAAACTAGTATTGTATTATTTAAGATAAACGTAATATATTTTTTTAATAAATACTCAAATACCTCTAGCTATTATATTATAAAATTTGTTTACTCCACATACATATATTATGCAAATATTGAGAAAACAAATATACAAAACATGTTTTGGCAAATTAATAATTAACGAAATCTACGAATCGTTAATAATAACAAATACTAATTTTAATTTTAATATCAGTCATAATATATTAATAAATTATAATTATATCATAATTTTATTTTATTCAAAGTTTGTTTTTTTTTCATAAAACAATGTGTGAGTGAATTTGTGAAGTGTTTTTTTCCCGGTTTGAATTTTTTAACGTGATGAATCTCGGAATATCCGAATCTCGGAATATCCGAATATCTGAATATCTGAATATCCGAATATCCGAATATCCGAATATCCGAATATCCGAATACCCGAATATCCGAATATCTGAATAGCAGAAAGTTCTTTGAATCATTCAAATCGGGCACTTAGTTCTCTCAAGAACTGCCATTTTTTGTACATTTAGCTCTATCGGAATATCGGAGTATCGGAGTATAGGAATGTCGAAATATCTGAATATCCGAATATCCGGACATTCGATTACCCGGACATTCGATTATCCGGACATTCGATTATCCGGACATTCGTTTATCCGGACGTTCGATTATCCGGACGTTCGATTATCCGGACGTTCGATTATCCGGACATTCGATTATCCGGACATTCGATTATCCGGACATTCGATTATCCGGACATTCGATTATCCGGACATTCGATTATCCGGACATTCGATTATCCGGACATTCGATTATCCGGACATTCGATTATCCGGACATTCTATTATCCGGACATTCGATTATCCGGACATTCGATTATCCGGACATTCGATTATCCGGACATTCGATTATCCGGACGTTCGATTATCCGGACGTTCGATTATCCGGACGTTCGATTATCCGGACGTTCGATTATCCGGACATTCGATTATCCGGACATTCGATTATCCGGACATTCGATTATCCGGACATTCGATTATCCGGACATTCGATTATCCGGACATTCGATTATCCGGACATTCGATTATCCGGACATTCGATTATCCGGACATTCGATTATCCGGACATTCGATTATCCGGACATTTCGATTATCCGGACATTCGATTATCCGGACGTTCGTTTATCCGGACGTTCGATTATCCGGACGTTCGATTATCCGGACGTTCGATTATCCGGACGTTCGATTATCCGGACATTCGATTATCCGGACATTCGATTATCCGGACATTCGATTATCCGGACATTCGATTATCCGGACATTCGATTATCCGGACGTTCGATTATCCGGACATTCGATTATCCGGACATTCGATTATCCGGACATTCGATTATCCGGACATTCGATTATCCGGACATTCGATTATCCGGACATTCGTTTATCCGGACGTTCGATTATCCGGACATTCGTTTATCCGGACGTTCGATTATCCGGACATTCGATTATCCGGACATTCGATTATCCGGACATTCGATTATCCGGACATTCGATTATCCGGACATTCGTTTATCCGCACGTTGGTTTAT